TTCAAAAAGGAAATACTCAATATTTACACTTTCCAAACCTTAGATAAAAGAACGAGGCTTGAAAATCGTTTTCTGAGTGGTGATAACTACTGACTGAGTTTCATAAATCAGTCACCAGTCTTGCGATGTAATGTATAGATCTTGACTATCACACGCTTTACCAACATTTACCTCATTTTCCAAAGAAAACGTCTACAAATTGTACTTGTAGAAAGGACCTTCATGCTGTGCTACAACTATTATGAACCTTAGTCAATTCTCACCATGGAGCTATCCTAAAGTGGCTGTACTTTTCTCCGCATGTCCGCTCCCTTATTTGCAAGAATCTTATACAGGCATTTGTTTTCACGATTCACTACAGATATTGTTATCGCTTGTTTCCCCTTCTCTTGTTCATTTATATTCAACAAAATACTTAACCCCCATTCACACCAAAGCTTAAACAAAGTTGTTTATTAAAACACAGTTAAAAATTGTTTGCTTTATAATAGCTGCTTACTAAGTTTCTTGCAAATTACCAGAATGGTTGAAGGTCATTATTTTGAATCCTGTGTGAGAATCTGAGTTCCAATTTTCTGTGTCTGTTTTTCATTTTAATACATGTTTAGTTGGTGTGAACGGGGCATAAGTGTTTGCAATGTATAAGTAGTCATTCGCCTTTGAGTACAATTTGTGTTTTTCAAAAAGTATCAAAACTGTATGAGCCCTTTAAAGGGTGAATGCAATTCAGTGTTTCAGCCAGAGCGCGCCATTGCGTGAATCCCGCAAAAGATCGAGGGATGGCCCCCACAAAAAGCGTTCAAAAGCCATTATGGCCCTTTCCTTTTTTAATTGCCTGGGTTTAAAATGGTCTCTGTTACTTTAACTACAATAATTTTCCAATTAAACAGAATTTTTAATCTAAAGAATAACGACTCCGTACCTTTGTACACAACATGAAATCTTGAGTTTACCTGATTTAACGTGAGTGGTCTGGAGACCACTAAGCCTCGACTTAGCTTTTGTAATATTGCAGAAGCTCATGGGTATCCATCATGGCGTCTCGAAACAGGGATAAGCCTGACAAATGCATCTTCGAGGTCTATCAAAAGTTTTTTCTCAGAAGTAACGAAAAAGTGGATGGAGACGAAGCAGTTCAGAATAAGCGAATGAAAGCAGATCTTGACGGTGAAATGGAAAATAAGATGAAAAAAATTACTTACTATTTTTATTGCGTACATTCTGATTGTACTGTTTGCTTTATTACCGAAGATTTCCTCTATTGTGTATAAAAAGGGACGCTCCATGTCAGCTTCAAATAAACTGACATTTTGATTTCCTTAACTTTCCAAAGTGCTTCTTCTCTTTTGCATATTAGAGAGATACTGGTACATTGGCCCCTTCTTGAAATATCTGGCCCCCAAAAATGGGTTGTAGGGGCCACTTTGGCCCTCAAGCACAATTTTCTGGCTGGAACACTGCAATTTGAGCTTTTTGAAAAACATATGAGTGCAAATAAATTGCACATTGAGTGAGAAAAGTCATATGATTACTTTTTAATAATATACATGAAATAATTTACAAGTACTTTCATGCCTTTATGTGCTTTAATTGAGCAACAGGCTATACTCAGCTGTTTGGCTTTAGCATCTCAAAATCAACGAACTGAATTGTTTGTCCCTAGTTATGGACAGGTGTATCCTTTTTCTTCCAATGCCTGTTCATAGCTGTCATAATAATTTTCAGACCATTTTGGGCTCAAAGTACGTAGCCCACTTGTTTGTTTTTATTATTCATGAGTCTCAGTGTAGAAGGACTCGACCAAGCAGTTTGTTGGGGTCGGCATGCTAGAAACTCTCAAGTTACTCTGAAAATCCTTCCTCTTTGTACAATACTCACATCAAATCAATATATAGTCCTCTTTACAAGGTTTTGGTTTGGTTTTTGTTCTCAATTGTTCTATAGTATTTTGTCGTAACAGAACTAAATTTTGCTTTGTATGCCAGCTATTTTTCCACTCGCAAACTTCATGTTACCTGCCTGGCTTCCCATGAGGTGACCAGCAGATTGTGGCACCTGATTGGTTCTGATATATTTCTATTGTTTATTAGCTAATCACAATTTTTCATTCTCTGAGAAAAATTTTTTTTTATTCTTTAGCATAATTTTTCCTCATTTTTGCACTGTGTTTACTAAAATTTGCACTGCTCTAAGCCAATCAGTTTCAAGACTTTTTTCCATGTATATTATTATCTTTCATAATAAACATCATCTTCTGTAATCAATTATTTCAGTACCTGCTGAATGACTTAATAATTACTCTTGTTCACCTAGCAGACAGCATTCTATTTTACCTTCAACTTGGAGGACCTCACTTTCATGTTCGTCCAAGGCTAATAAGATAAGATTTTAAAAATCTTTAGTTTATAATAAAAAGTGGAACCTCGCCTTACGACCACCCCGTTTATAAGACCACCTCGTTATTAAGGCCATATTCTTTCAAACCAAACGTAAAAACCATTGAGTCATTTTATTCTTTTGAAGACCCCGTTAATGCGACCACCTCGTTATTACGACCATGATTTTATGGCCCAACGGTGGTCGCATTAACGGGGTTCCACTGTAATTAGTCTATTGACTCAGAGCTCATTTGGGCTCGAGGAATAATTATTATTCCTCAAGCCCAAATGGGCTCTGAGTCAATAGACTCATCTGACTTTGACTCATCTGAATCTCAATCAGAGGCCATGGGGGCGAGAGGAATAATTGTTTTAGTAAAATCCAACTAGTTGGTCAAAAATATTAAGACAAACAACTTTTAGCTAGTTAAAGCTAGACGTAAATCCTTTTTCGCCACCAAAAATCCAGAGCTTTTCGCTACTAGTGGGCTATAACATATAGCCTAGCAGTAGCTCAACCAATCACAATGCTGCAATTATAATAGACCACTAGCTGGATTTTACTCATCAATAATATGTTCATCATGAAATTCAATATTTCCCTGTCTCACAATAGTGAATACACACACCTTATTCAATGGTACGGAGATTGTGCGAGTTGCGTAGTATGTTTTCTGAGCCCCACAGGGGCGAGAAAAAATATGAGCAATGAGCAAAATGTCTGCTCGTATTATATGCTAAACCATCAAATAAGAGGTGTACTATTCCACTACAAAAGAAAAATTGTTATTTTGCAATAGGCCTCTATTTTTTTGGAAAGAGTATTAAAAAACATCCCGATTCCTTCTGTGAGAATGACAATAACAATGAGGTAAATGTTTGTGCATATTATATCAGGGTGTTCAGCAGCATGGTTGCTCAAAAAAATAGGAAAATTGGAAACTCAGGATTGAGAAAATAGGAAGAATAGGAAACTTTGCATTGAAAAATAGGAGAAAAATGGGAAAATCAAAAGTACTTTTGTCGACAAAGATAGCTTCCGTGCACCCCATAAGGGTTACTATAAAGGCTAACAGTCCTCAGATTCTATGTTGAATTTGTTCACAGGATTTAGATCGACTTTCCCGGCTAAGAAGGAGTGAAAATGATCAGTAACGTTTATTTTATTGGCTCAGTTACGCTGTATTAAATCAGAATGATATGATTGACTACAGGTCGAGCGTGGTTCTATAATCAAAGGTGATCATATGGAAATTCCCTTCAAGTTGACGGCAAATCTTTCAAAAGCTTTGAAGGGTGAAATTTCTTAGGATATAAATTTCTTACGATTGAGTTGTCATGGAAAGATATAGAAAAAAAGTCCTATGCAAAGCTTTCCTTCCATTAATCTGCAATCGGTGCCTGGTTGAGAATATGCTTGTTTGAGTCAAAAGACTGCGTAATTTTAAGTACAGAACCAGGCTCTTCGCGTTGTATGCAAATTGACACTGATCTATTTGGTACCAGATTCTAAGTGTGTCATGGTTAAGTTTTAAGAAGAACATAACACTCTGCTTAGCTATGACTGTAAGACCGATTTTGCAACCAAAATATTGGATCCTTTACCAGTTGCTTAGGTATAGCTGTTAACAAGGGCTCACCAAGAGAGCTAGTGCCGCGCGTAAACAAAACTTTAGTCTGTTCTTTTCATGTAGCATCCAGAATCAGCTAGTGATTGGTTTTTTAAACAAGAAGCTGATTGGATAAATAATAAAATAATGAAGAGCAGAGTGCATGATTGTCTCATTTCGGGACTTGTACTTATTTCGATTTTTCTATTCTAGCCAGAATTGCCTCAATTTTTGTAAGCGACCTTTGATTCAGTAGAGAAACATTGCCCTGTATTTTTTTTTCGCCATTTCCCCCTAACTTTTCGAGAAATAACGTATGCAAAACATTGCGTCGGCGTTCTTTAGTTCGAAAAGGAGACAAAAAGATTGGACGAGTTCTTTGTTTTCTTTGTTTCGCAAAATCTGGCCTGTGTTGTGAGAGGACAATTTGATCCTGGTTTTAGTTTCAAAGATGAACATAAAAGCGAGCAAGACTTCAAATCAAATTTAACATGTACAAATACTGAAATGCAGTTTCAGTGGGCTATGCAAAATATTTAACAATTATTCCTCGAGCCCAAATGGGCTCTGAGTCAATAGCAGCCGAATGGACTATGGACTCAGAAGCCATGAGGGCAAGAGGAATAATTGTTTTAGTAAAATAATCGAACTAGTTGGTCAAAAATATCGAGAATAAAAAAATTTTACCTAGCTAAAGCTAGAATTTAATCCTTTTTTGCCGCCATAAAGATGCCGCCATAAAGCCCGCACTTTTCGCTACTAGTGGGCTATCACAAATAGCCTAGTAGTAGCTCAACCAATCAGAACGCAGCACTGATAATAGACCACTATAGTTGGATTTTACTCATACATTACATGCAGGTGCACGAGAAAATTATACAAAAAGTAACAAAAATAAAATGTTAACAGAACTCTAATAGGCAATAGAGGTCATGGAAAGAACAAACGTAACTGTCATTTTTACTAATATTAGAACATCAAAGTCAACATGCTACTTGCTTTATGATAAATTTCACTCAAAAACACATACAACTATAATTCCATTTTCAATTTTGTAACAAATTTTGGCTTCACCAGCTAAAAAATAGGAAAAATAGGAGGTTTTAGTTTACATAAGCTTACAGGAGTGACAAACAACTGTCACAAGAGGAGTTCACATTAATTCATTCAGCGATTCATTGCACGGTCGGATATATAGGACGGAAAAAATAACAATGCTGAAACTTTTCGATGGAATTACATAACTTGCACATTTAAGATTACCTTACTTTCAACATCAGAAAGTACGAAATAAATCGAGGAGCACTTAAAGCTTTTACTCTATCTCATTCAAGTAAAATTACATTTCAACGCTGCGTGACAACAATTGACTTGTGGTTGGTCCTGATGCAATCACGACTAGGTTATTGAGTAAACAAACAAAGCTACAACTGACGTTCCACAGTAAGCTTTTTTGAAAAAAATAATTTCGCAAAAGCCACAACGCCTTGCATCCGATACATATTTACAGTAAGCTAACCTCGGCACAAAGGAAGCTTAAATTTGAAGATATCCACTTACCTTCTCCTTCCCGTTCGTCTTCGTTCAGTCGACGCCTTTTTTGCTTTGCTGCTTCTCGCTCCGTTCTTCGCCGCTCGTCGCTAATTCGGCGTCTATTTTCTCTTGTTCTCTCTCCTTCATTCTCCAGTTGCTCTTCAGTGAAATTTTGTCGCCTTTCCCTTTCTCTTTCTTCCTCTTTCCCTCGTCACTAAAATTTTGCCTCCTTTCCCTGTTTCTTTCTTGCTCCCTCTCGCGTTGCTCGTCAATAAAATTTTGCCCCCTTTCTTTTCTCTAGCTCTCTGCCGCTCTCGCTCTCGTTGAGCTTGGCTTGCTTGCCGCCTACTTTCTCGTTTTCTTTGCCTCTCTCTATCTCTATATTCCAAACTTGAGGACATAGTTGATAAAATATGTAGAAAATACGGATGTAAAAACAATTTCCGTCAACCGATACGAAAAATTTATTTTGGTTCAGAGTTGATTTCGCTGGGCTAAGTTGTTTTTACTTCACAAAACGCGGGTGGCCATTCGTTTTCGCGCTAAAACAAAACTTATTATACACACAGACTACGCAAAATTCATTGGTATGCCTGCGGTGCGGACGGACGGCAGGAGGTCGATGTACGGTCACCTGATTACCAAATTCTCTGGGATTAGCTATGGGGCTCCGCCCACGCACGCGCGAAGTGCGCGCGTGGAGCTCCGCTAACAACATAGGTAACCTCACTAAGGTACCAGAATTTTAAACAATATTAAAAATGTAAAAAAATATGAATCATCTATTTTATTAAAATTGCATATTAAAAAGGACACAACAGGTTTAAGAGTATTCTTAGCAATAATTAGGTAACAATTATAATAAATAATCTTACATTGTACATTTAGTGTAGCAGAATTGGACGGAACTGTCCTCACATTGTTTGTTGCCTCACAGACAATTGCCCACTGTCTTCTCTGGTCACATTCGTTATAGTGAGTTGTTTGCCGTCTGATGACAAACTGATTCTTGAACCCGTCGTTAAAACAGAACCGTTTTTGGTCCATCGGAATGTAGGTGCAGGATTTCCAGTTGCATTACAAGTGAAAGTAACGTTATCCCCTTCTACCTTTGTCTTATTTCGTCGATGCATAGAAAAGTCAGGTTCACGTGTGATAAACAAAGATACAGAACAGTAGTGAAGTAAACGTTTTATTATAGGAGAGGGAGTCCCTTTGCTTGTCCCTTAAAGTTGGTTAGTGTATTGTACAAAGTAACAGTCATATATAGTGTATAACCTCAGTAGCGATGAAATCGATCCCTTATGAGCGAAATCAAATAAATTAATAGAGAATCGGCCTTTTTCTTTCTTTCCTTTTTCTTCTTCAATGCGTGGTAGCGCCTTAATGATTGCATACGCTTGTCAGCGAAAGAAATTTAAGCTGCATTCTGAAGACTTATCATAAATTTCTCGAATATAAAAAATGAGCTATTACATGTGAATGCTAAGCGCGCTGTGATTGGTCGTTGCCCATGATCTATTGTGGCACAGATACGTACATGAATGACGTCACGAAAAAAACATCAGTGGCACACCCGCCTGCGGCTCGCCGCATTTTGACGTCATCTGGGATCTATTACTGAACAGACGCACGGCAACATGGAATCAATTTGTTAAATATAATATGACGCGTGATGCAGCTCCCTGGCACAATATCTATTTTGATATATTAATGGAATGTGAACAAGGCCGCCAGAAGCCAGTTTCACCTTTTACCCAGCTGCGGTTGTGAACAATTAAATGACTGTAAGATCACACAAATGAAAAAGATAAAATCAGTAGGTAGTGGGGGACTGCAGCATTGCTTCTTTCCATAGTGGAACATGCAAAGTTCCGAAGTTCTACCAGAATGCACTTATATCAAAAGTGCTTTTAACCAAAACTTGAATGTTTAAACTGGAATTCAACAAGTCTCAGTAAAAACGCAACACACTTATCAGAACAATTCATTACTTCAGCATATCATACACAGAGCTAGCTGAGCTCCACTAACCTTCTCGAGAAAACGGAACAGCAATCAGTATAACAATAGTACTCTTTTAACACTCATTGTGAGCAGTGCTAATACTTTGTTTTCTTCACAAAAACATAGGAGTGTTGGGCTTGTAGCTAGCTAGAGGTTTTTATAAACGTATGTAACTAACTTGTAGGCGGCAAGGAAAGTGTTACGAAATGATACTTAAGCTTCGCCAAGAATGTGGATACTAGAACACCATAGCCGGTAACTCCAACGTACGTGAATACCTTCCGGGAACGTGACGAAAAATATTTCTCGATTTTTCTGCCTCTGCCACGATATGGGCCAGTGTCTCAAGTGCAACTATTACGTAAATCAATTTAAGCCTAGTTATCATCGTCAAATCTCAGTTCTTCTAGCGTATTAGCAAAGCTTGATCATAAACTGATCACAAAGAAAGAAATGCACTGGGAAGGAGAGGGAAAATTGCATTATTGAGCTTTAACCACTATAAATCGTTCCAAGGGCTATGCATGTTCGATATTGTCGCAACAGTTTTATAAACTTCCAAAAATAGTAAGGTTATCACTAAGAAAATGATGTTTTGTTCTCACTTTATAATTGTTTGTGACTACAATGGAATCAATGAAGGAAAACAGTTTAGCCTATCACTGTCCCTAAGTTTTTGTGGAGTACCGTGCATTGTTCAGACGATAGACGTAAACTTTTTATTCTTCGTTGGAAACTACTTTGTAGCACCACACTCGATAAAGCGCCCTCCTTTGAATGAGTGCCTAGTGTCTGGGCGTTTCTTGGAGGAAATGTAGCAACTGAAAATTTACATATATGATGTCGGTGATCAATATGTCAATACTGAGGCTATTGTAACATACATACAGCGTTTTTACCGATAAGTCACAATGACATTCCACACTTATCTCAAAATGGACTGACAACATAACAGCTCATGATCAAGATTAAGGCTCCGTTCGACTAGTTGATCGTTCTTATTTTTCTCATTACAGTCAGAGTTGGATTCTACTTGTCTGACATTTTGTATCAATTGGAATACCGCTTTCAAAGACATGATTTTCATTAAAACGCAATTCATACAATAGCATTATAAAAGCAAAATTAAGCAAACCCTCCGGCAAAATTAAAACACGACACTCTGAGATTGCTAAGTAATATAATATTCCTAAAACCAAAAAATAGATAAGCTGCGTCTTTTCCCACGTAGTTACGTAGTTATATAGGGCTACAATTTCGGACAAATTTCAGCATTTTTTCCAATCATCGAACAATACTTTCGTTCATTTAAATCCTCTCAAAGCGCTTCTTGCCACTAATGTTAGTGTCAGTTAGGTACTGGTCGCACGTGATGGGCCAAATATGACCGCACTACATCAGCTGTTTTATTTACCATGAAAGTAGATTTAAAGGCGTCAACAATGAATATTTACTCAGTGGAGAGATTGTCGTTGAAATAACTTTGCTCACCGTTTCCGGTTGAGGTTCAAGCTTTTGAAAACTCTCAGAACTAAGGGTGTGGGGTAAAACTGTTAACTTTTGGTTTGTCCATTTGAGTTTCAAACCCATTTCTAATGCGCAGATGAAATTTAAACAGGTTACGTCATAGGCCTGTTAGAACAGGATCAAAGATTGCTCACATCTTTACACGCACTAATAAAGCATAACCTTGAGTGAGTTTCTTCTGTTTTCGGCCTTATATTATCCAATTGACGATGAAACCGTTTTTCAACTTAACTGTGAACTTCTACATATTGTACGTAAAACCAAAAACACACCGATAAATTCTCTTCATACTTTACTTATTAGCCAGTGAGGTCGTGGAAGTCAAGAATGAATTGCTGTGAGAAATACATTTAAAATTCAACACATTCTTAACTTGCTAAACAGTGGCTGCTTTATTTATCGCTTAGTTTTATTACTTTCCATCATTTGTTTCGCATTTTTCGGGTTTCAAGAAGAGCTCGATCTGATCCTTTTTAAACGGAAATAAAATACACCCAAGAAGGAATGCGTACTGATTCCTTTATACTATAATCAGCGAATTTTAATCAATTTCGCTTTTTAAAAATTAGCTACCTTTCTAACGCCAGTCTTAGCTTTTTACCCGTGTTAACCTTTTCTGTGTTACAAAGACCACATAATATACGGGTTCTCTCGATAGACTAAACATTCCTATGGACTCCGGACGTTTTTTAAAAGAACCGTTAATCTTTGCAGCGCTCGAAGCAAATCAAATAACTTTACCCTATACTTCAGCTGATAATTTGTTATTGATTCATTTAAACTGGAAAAATATCGTTATCGTGAAAGAAATCGTAAATTTAGAGACTGGCATGCACTTGATTTGTCTCCCCGCTGGCTGTCATCTCAAAACATACATCAAAGCACGTACAAAATTCAGCTCACCTGAAGCCTTTATAAACGGTAAAGCGGTTAGTAAAAGCAGCAAACGCTTAAAGACCATCTTTTCATGCTAAAGGACCGATTTCGTCTCTCAAATGCCAAGAGGTTTTCAACAAATTATCATGATTGAAGAACGAAGACAAAAAGTGATTACTAATCACTTTTTTCGCTTTGTTTTTAAGACAGTGCATGAAATACATTTAATGCAAATTCGGATATTTTTGGCCACCAGTGATAAAAGGGGGTGCAAAAGAAGGTTCAAGAATAAATTAAAGAAAATTATGCAAACAGAAAACGTCATTTGTCAGTTCTTCCGGATCATCTATAGTACAAACTCTCAAGTAAGTTAAACAGGAGAGAACAGAGGACACACTGACCGGGTTTTCGATGGATTTTAACACTGATGATAGTATAGATTTACCATGTAGTATGCAGTTTGCGCAAGCTCAAAAGGGAAGCTTGAGTTTAAAAGATGGGAAAGGAGTTAAGAGCATTGAAACAGATCATAGACGAAAGAGTCATGCAAACTGTAATTTATAATGCTTTTATAAAATACAGGAACTGAGATAGTACGTGCGATCTGACTGGTCAAAAACCTATGCATATGGTTTATTATACCGGTAAACCCACAAAAAAAGGTATCCAGAACAAGAACCGTAAGCAAAACCGGCCATTGATCTGCAAACAACGATTTTAAAAAGGCTAAAAAACAGAACATGTTACTTA